CCTCTCTCTGTCTCTCTCTCTCTCTCTCTCTCTCTGTTGCTCAAGGGCCTGCTGGAGAGTCTTGATAGCGCAGTAACCCCTCTTTGTCCTGGGTCCTCCAGAAGCAGTAATAGCATCTGGAAATAAAGTCTGGCCATGTGCTTCTGCCCCTCCCTGCTTTGGTGTGCTGTGGGAGAGGCAGCCCAGCTGACCTGCTGTCCTTGGGCCTGTAGCTGCAGCTTTGGCTCAGCAGGAACTCTTCCTTTGGAAGCAGCACTTTACCTCTCTTCATGCCTTAGATGTGGAGCAGAACTGGCTTTGAAGTGCTCCCTTCTGGGTCTGAACTTGACACTTAGACTGGTCTTTCCCAAACTGAAGTTTGTAGACCTCTTTTACCTGTCTCCAAAACTACTTTGGGTCCAAGTGGACCTGAGTTTTCATGTTTACCTGGGTTTGGAGAGTAAAGGGTGTATGTGAGTATGTGAGAAGGTGTGGGAGTCTAGTCCTGTATTCAGATTAAACTGATTGATTTACCCACCTTTTCAGTTAACATATTTTTTCTAAAGCTCATCTCAGTAATTTTCATTTGTTTTATTACCTTATAACAGGTTAAAAGTGCCTATGACAAGGACTTATTTCCTAATGAAAAGCAAAAAAAAAAAGTGGGGAACAGGGTAGTTTGCACTGTCATCTCAGGTACTGCCTGTGTTCTAGAACTTGCCCCTAGAGCATTGAGAAGAGTCTCTGGGCTGACTCCAAATCAGTGATCAGTGTCTCTTCCTTGATGGCCACAAGGTGGCCTGGTTGAGAAAACCATGCTGAGAATGTTGCTGGCAAGTGTGCTGGTAGCAGTTCAGCCTGCTGGCTCCTGTCAGCTGGCCCTCTTTCTGCCTATCCCTGTGGTAGGAAGGTATAGAACAGGAGCTGGGCAGGAGAAGCCATTGCCTGCAAATTGAGAGCAAGTGTTGTTGGGGCTTGTCCTGAAAGAGCAGGAACGCCCAGGCTGACCCAGTGAAGTACCCAGCCACACCTCTTCATGGACCCTCCCCATCATCCCCATCATGTCATTGCCCACCAGGTTTAGGATCCATGGGTCCCATAGCAGAGATAAAGAGATCCTCAGGACTGCTCAGAGGCGACAGGAAAGCTTGGAATCCTGGGGGCTTAGAGAGAGTGGCTGGGGAGGGTCAGATGAAAGAAAAACTAGTAAGGAAAAGTGTCTAAAGGTAGATCTTTAGGAGACACACTTGGAAGGATGGAACTAGGGGACACCAAGCTTCTGTACTGGATGTGCCTGGAGAGGACACTGCCCCTGGCTTGGGTCCAGTGGCCTTTGAGAGCTGGTGCCAAAGGCCATGGGGCCTTTGCCTACTCAGGGAAACAGCTTAGGTTCTCCAGATGCTGCGCTGATGTGATGGAAGCAGAGCTACTTTGGCACATGAACAATGGGAAGAGTTTTATATATATATATAAAAATCGAGATAAATCTAGGATCCCAGTTAACCCTTTTCTTTAATGCCAGTTTAGATTAAATAATGGAGTTGGAAACTTGCATGGATACCCACAGGAAAGCAGTCTCCCTCCTGCACAGAACTGAATGGCTAAGAAATGAGCTAGGTGGTTGCTTCATGAAGCCAGACCTTCTGAAAGGGAAAGCAAACAAATCTCAGCACACAAGAACCTGAGTTTGTCAGGGAGCTTAATAAATTAAAATTGAAGTGTGTCCCGCCCTTAAAAACTAACCCCAGGGTGAAGATGGCGGGGAGGGGAGGTGACGAAACTAGTAATGGCATGCTTGTGCGTGGCAGGGATCTGTTCGTGGAAACACCCCAGTCAGGCATTGTGGAAGCTGGAAGCATGGTGGACTTATGCAGCTGCTGCATACCTTTGTGTCAAGACTCAACAATGTGCTACAAATGTGATACTTAACCCTGAACTGCATGTATTGGGGATTTTTTTTTTAACTTTGAATCAATAAATTAACAGTTTTTCACTTGCTGGCTTTTCTTGCTGTACATGGTGACTTAAGAGTTTGGGACAGAAATCTCGACACCCAGTAGCAGTCTTCAAGAACCATGGAGCCTTCTGTTTGCACCGTTGCCTGGGTTGCGATCCTTTCCAAGTGAATGCTGCAGACCCAGTTCCTGCTTCATGGCCCTGTGTGGCACCATGTCACATCCTCTTTTCCTAAATAAAAATGTTGACAACACCCACCCTTCAGCAGTGGGAGGCAAACCAATCATGCCTGTGAGGACCTTAATTTGCATTGCCTGTCTCTTGGGGGCAAGGGGAGGGGCTGTAAATCTGAACTTGGAAGATCATTGTGGTGGCAGAGGTCAGCTTGGTGTGAAGACTTTAGAAGCAGGCCTGGAGTGTGGTAGGATTCTACTTGTTTCTGGTACCACTCAAGATGCTTCCTGGGGCTGACTGGCTGGCTTTGTTGCATGACTTTTAACTCAGTCTTGGGCGCTTGTGAAAATCCCACCCCCATCCTTGCAGCACATGCGTGTGGATGTGAGCCTATGCCACTGTTTGGCAGATGGTGGGACCTTTCATGCATGTGCTGCTTTTTCTCACTGGTTCCTCTGGATCGGACCCTGGGAAATTGGCTGAAGTAGTTAAAGGCAAATCTCTTACCATGCAGTCAGCCTTTTTCAAACACTAAGCAGTGGGACCATTTCTTTACCCAAAGGAAGTTTTCAGGAAGTGACTGAGGCAGCTTGCTGGCTACCAGTGCTTCTCTCTCCTGCAAGACACTTCAAGAATCTGGCCACTGGCTTCTCACCCACCTAACTGTGGGATGTGGAAGGAGACTTGTGTTCAGGTTGCGTTAGGCAGCTGTTTGCAGAGGCAGGATGAAGATGTTTGATCCCACCTGTTGTCCTTCATTATCAGTGGACTTGGTCTTCTTCCCTTAGTAGAAACCAAGTCCTCTGCTTCCTAGACCCAAGACATCCTCAGGAAATTGGGTCAGGTCTGAGGGAGGTCTAGGATTGGACCTGTAGCTTGGCTTGCAGGATGGTCACAAGACATCTACATCAGCACCCGGACCCAAGGGACAGGGCAGGAGAATTGTGACATGGTGTCCCCCAAGCTCTTCCCTTCCTCTCCAGGAGGCCAGGCTAATGGCTGCTTCTGTTGGGGTCAGAGAGGAGGAAGAGGATGCTGTCCGAAGCCTGGGCCCATGCAGCAAATGTCCCATCAAGTGGCATGGAGAAGACAAGCTTGAGCCCTGTCCCCAGCCCTCTTCGAGAAAAGGAAGTCCCCCAGGTGGCCTGCCTGTCTCTGGCTCAAATTGATTAATGCCGTCTTTCCCCTCCTCCCATCTCTCCCCAGGTCTGTTGCGGTTCCTCCCACTTTTCCATAAGCAGAACAAGAACCAAACCAAACGTCTTAACGTGTGTAGCGAGATCACGTTCCAAGAGCAGACACAAAACGGTGGCAGGCTTGGCGAACTCCAACTAGACCACCTGAAGGGCAGCCCACCACCGTAAATCAGACCTCACTTCCGAATGTAAAAGGTTCACATGCCTTTGGCTTCCTGTTGACTTCTCCCGACCCAGAAAGCATGGGAAATGTGAAGGGTATGCAAAATGGTCGTTGGTTACTGTTGCTTCCCGTGCCCCTTGACTCATCCTGTGGTGGCCTGATGTTCCAGGTAACCCTGGGGACTAGCTGACCACAGACTCCAGTTGGGACGGGCAGTGTATGGCATGATGGGCAGTTACATATTATTATTTTAAAAGTATATATTATTGAATAAAAAGTTTTAAAAGAAATGGATGGAGAGTTTTCAGTCTGGAAGGGGCCAGAAGAGGACTGAGTGATAGAAGGGCCCTTGTGCCAGGCTCTACCCAGAGGGAGGTAGGGCCATAATGGCATGTCAGGTGGAGTGGAGTGAACTGGCCTGATGTGCTCTGGGCTTGGAGAACTGGGCCTTGTTGATATTTCCATCACCAATGTCCACTCACCTCCCACACAAAGTGGTTCAGTGTTGGAGGGGAATAAATGCCCCAATGGTGAGCTCAGCAAGATGCCACAGCCCTGTTTGTTGTCTCTGTCCACATCTCAGTGTTTTAGTCCATCACCCAGTCATGCCCACTCCCTTCTGAAGAAACGTCCCAGTCCTGGAAGCCGGTTGAGTCTACTGTCCAATGACAGGAGAGGAATCAGGCCCAAGGGGGCTTCTCCCACCTTGAGGCTCCCAGGAACTGGAGGGAAAGCAGCCCGCATACACAAAAGCTGCAGTGCAAGCAGCAGGTGCTACAGGAAACAAACCAGTCAGACCAGGATCACAGCTGTGCTGGGGAAGTAACCACATGCTGGCCACCCAGCCTGGCCCAGCCATCCTCGCCTTACCTGTCCCCAGGCTACCTGTAGAGAGCAGAAGCATAGGCAGATTCTGAACAGGCAGTGGGATGGGACCAGCCTGCTCCTCACAGGGGCCGAGTGCTCCGCACCCTCTTGTCCTCTTGGTTTTGAATAGCTGTGTGAATGCTCACAGTAGTAAAGCAATTGTTGCGTAAGCCCACAGGCCTCTTCAGCTGTCATAGAGTCCTTTGAACCCACTGTACTATCCAACCAGTTTCCCAAGAATAAAAGCTTGAAAATGCCCCTGGGCATCAGCAAGTGACCCCCAGTCCCCTGGCCACAGACTTTTTAAGACCAGTGGGATACAAATGGCTTGTTGCTAGCCCCACCATTGGCCTGGTTTTCTCATGGAACACGGTCTATAGAGTCAAAGCTCTACAAATCTCTATTGGTCTTCCAGATTACTGGGACAGCATCAGAACTGCTCATTTACATGTGCATGCTAGTTCACATGTGTAATCAGATTCACGTGTATGTTGGTACAGTAAGTCTATACTTTCTTCACACAGAGCTGTGAGCAATTAAAGGCCTTTGCAGCTGTGGAGCATCTTAGCTAGACACAGGAGTAAGTTTGGAAATTCTTTGGAGCTCACAAAGAACTTGGGACACTAGCTTAGTCAGTTTCCCCTGCTTTTTCAACCCAGCTCTCCACTTCCAGGCATGGAAGTCTTGTTTTTCAGAGGCCTCTGAAGACTATCAGACACCTGGGTTTTGTGACTGTTGTAGAGGGGAGGGAAGGAAAATTACTTAGATTGGTTTTGTTTTGTAGTTTTCTTGTTTTGAAACGGGTCTCACTATGTAGCCCTAGCTAGCTTAGAACTTGCCATGTCGACCAGGCTGGGTTCAAACTCAGAGATCCACCTGTCTCTGCCTCCCCAGTGCTGGGGTCAAAAGATGTGTGCCACCACTCCAGGCACTTGGGTTGTTTGGACTATGAAGGGGATAAAGAGCCTGCTAATCTGAGCCACATCTGAGCCTCCACAGCACACTTCACATGTCACATCAGAGAACCCTTCACATCTTCCCGTAGTCCTGTTTATGCTGCTAGTAAAATATTTATTGCATTTTCCTGATGAATAAAGTTACTTTGGTAACTTACATACTTTGTAACTTTGATAATTTATGCTTGTGGTAAAAAAATTCAAATGTTGGGGCTGGAGAGATGGCTCAGCGTTTAAGAACACTTGACTGTTCTTGCAGAAGACATAGGTTCGAATCCCAGCACCCACATGGCAGCTAACAACTGTAACTCCAGTTCCAGGGGATCCAACAGCCTCTTCTGTCCTCCGTAGGCATTGCACGACACAGGTGCATTTACCTATGTGCAGGCAATACATGAAAACACATAAAATAAAAAAAAAATTTTAAATAATCAAATGTTGAACCAGGCATGGTGGTGTGTGCCTTTAATCCCAGCACTCAGGAGGCAGAGGCAGGTGGATCTCTGTGAGTTCAAGGCCAGCCTGGTCTACATAGTGAGCTCCAGGACAGCTGGGGCTACAGGGAGACCCTGTCTCAAAAAAAAAAAAAAATTACCAAAAAGTTAATAATGCAAACCACACATAACATGCAAGAGCTCTCTCTTGCTTCCCTTACAGATAATCACTGTTAAATTTGGTATATACCCTCTCATTTGTTTCCACATGCCTTTACTATCTTCTGAAATGTAATACAATGATACATTCTTTTTCTAAAACTTTTCATTTCACTTGATTGTGAAACTCTGGGTCAGCATGTTTATATCTACACTACACCTCTATTCCTGGCTGCATGGTATTCTGTCATATGATAGGCTACCGTTAATGCAATTCCTGTTAATAAACTACACTACTGCTAGGCTTTCAAAATTGCTGCAATGAGAAAATCTACTCTACATTTGTAGATGGGGTAGATGTAGGTGGAATTAAATGTCTTAAAATGTACAATCCTGTAAACATCAATATTTGCTTCAAAAAATATTTTTCTTGGGGCTGGAGAGAAATCAGTTGCCAATTCCCAGCACCTATGTTGGGTGGCTTATAACCACCTGTATTCCAGCACTCACATGCTTGTACACAGACACACAAACACACACAAATTTTTAAAAAAAGGGGGGGGCTGGAGAGATGGCTCAGTGGTTAAGAGCACTGGCTACTCTTGCAGAGGACCTGGGTTCAGTTCCCAGCACCCACATGGCAGCTAATGACTGTACCTCCAGTTCCAGGGAATCTGACACTCTTCTTCTGGCCTCCATGGGCATTGCACAACATGGGTGTACTTGTATGCATGCAGGCAAACCACCCATACACATAAAATAAACATAACTCTTAAATTTTTTCTTATAACTGGTCACAATTATACAATCTCAGAAAATTATAAGAAAACTCAAATGTGAAAAGTGGCTGATTTTAATGTGTTTGGAATGCCATGGGTGAGCCTTCAAAAGGCTACTCAGTGAAGACTAGAGATTTCAAATAGCTATGACCAAGGGACAGGAGGTAAGATGGATGAGCTTTTCAGAATGCTATTTGTCAGGCTGTTAAAATAATGTGCCTCTCGGATGCACTGTGCTAAGAAGCCAGGCTCAAAGACTGCTTACTGAAGGGCTCCATTTGAGTGACAGCCTGGAAAGGGAAGAACAAGGAGAGCAGATCATGGCTGCCTGGATGAAGAATAGCTTCAAAGGGTCGGTATCATGTCCTTTTGGGGATGCTTTGCCATCCACCAAAAAGTACATATTCCTGGTGGTATATTTAGAAGTGTTTTTAAAAATTACCACATGCAGGGGTCCAACAAAGTTCCACTGGGACTTCAGTCTTGGATTAGCCAGATCCTTGTCTGCCAGACCCCAGGTCTCTGCCCTTCCATCTGCCAGCTGAAGTCTCTGGGTGTTCAGGGCATTTCCTGGCTTTGCTCTGACTGAGGAGCATACCTTCTCACTTATATTGCCATGCCAGACCACTGTCCTAGCAACAAAGAGAGGTGCAGAAGATGCTTTGCCTTCTACTGTGCAGTACATCCCCATGGGTCCCAGGGTTAGGTGCTTTAGATTGACCCGAATCCTTTTGTCCCTGAGAGTTAGCATCTGACAAGGTCTTTGTGCACTGAAAGGGACACTTATCATTACTGATGTTTAAACGTCTTAGTGCCAGGTGTGGTAGCATATGCCTTTAATCCCAGCACTCAGATGAGGTAGGCAGATCTCTCTGAATTCAAGGCCAGCCTGGTCTACATAGGGAGTTCCAGGCTAGCCAGTGCTACATAGTGAGACCCCGTGCGCCACCACGCCCAGCTCAAAACACCAAATTTAAATAAATAAATGAAGTCTGAGTTACTAAAGCTGTACATCTAAAAATCAATTTGTGCTGATCATGCACACCTTTAATCCCAGCACTCAGGAAGCAGAGGCAGGCAGGCAGATCTCTGGTTATTTGAGGCCAGCTTAGTCTACACAGCAAGTTTTAGGCAGTCACAGATATATAGTAAGACCCTACCTCAATAATAATAATAATACATAATAAAAATCCATTTTAAAGTGTGTGTGTAGCCCAGAGGTTGACATTACCTTGTTATCTTTTATTTGTGTGCTTGTGTGTGTGTGTGTGTGTGTGTGTGTGTGTGTGTGTGTGT